AAGTATCATCCGCTGGGGCTACAACGGACGTAATCACAAAAATTTCGACTCCATAGCCTATGACTGCAGTGATAATTCACAGCAAAAACGATGCTTTCCATTTAAGAAGTATAGGAAAGCTGCTGTATTGAGTTGTTCTTGTAATGGTTTAGTACTGTCGTTTCTGGACGACATATGTGTACTGTGGAATCCATCCACTGGAGCATACAAGAGGTTCTCACGTCCTCCTAAATATCACAATTATCCACCACGTGGATTTTGCTATGATTCTTTCCTGGATGACTACAAGGTGCTGTTTTTCCGTGCAAGAGATTTTGTGGTTTACAGTTTCAGAAGTCAATCCTGGACAGAGGCTAGGCACTTCCCTTATTTGGGTTGTCGCAGTGGTTCTGGCGTTATTGTCAATGGAGTGTTACACATGGTTGCTTATAAAGCCTTGATCAATAATAATGATAATAGAGAGTCGTCGACCTCTGCTAGAGTTGGACCTCCCTCTCCCGGTAAATTGGGCATGGTTGGAACCTCTGATCCACCAACTTTTATGTTCGGTGATTCCTACAAAGAACATCTCCTCGTTTCTTGCAATGCAAAACCCGTTACAAACCAATCTAAGAAGCAATATGGGTGTGTGATTGTTTACTTTGACATGGTGGATCACAAGTTCAAGGAGATGCCATCACCAAATTGTATAAATGATGGAGATATGTTTGATTTGACGGTTTTGAAGGGATGCCTCAGTTTATATTTTAGTACCAGTGATATGAACTATTTTGAGGCGTGGACTATGGAGCAATATGGTGAGCATCATTCTTGGACCAAGTTAATTGTCATCCCACACTGGATACGTGAGAGACATATAAGTTCTTTGAAGCTATTGTGTGTTACCAAGAAAGGTAAAATTGTGATGATACTTGATGACAAAAAACTATTCATCTATAATCCTAAAAACAACACGTGCACTCGTCTTGGACAAACAGAGGTTGACGCTAGGCTACGAGCAGTTTCTATTGTGGATAGTTTGGTTTTTCCCATTCCAACACCTCAAGGAAAAGGAAAGAGGAAAAAACCTACAATTGTAAGGAAGTCAATCAAATAATTTCTATTTTTCTAGTTTCTAAGTTAATTCATGTCTTATGATTGTAATGTTTGATATTAGATATTGAAAAATGGCGTAATTGTTATGTTTTGTTTTTGTTGTGTTAATTAATTACTATAATTAGAATGTATATTCCCAAACTTCATAATAATCAGCATCAAGGTACATAACAGTAACGCATTAGAGAATCGCACACTCTCAACGATTAATTATCATTGAAGCTCTCCACGAACTCAAAATATTCCGTTACAATTCTTTGTTCGACATAAGCAAGGCTACAAACATAATCGATGACAACTTGGATCCGCTACTGCCAACAATGAAACTGTAAGCTCCATCTGCCGTAGGTTGTGGACAACATGAAAGAATCATGCAAATTGATCTTGCAATTTTGCATAGAGCACTACCAGGAACAAGAACCGAATTTGAAGACGCTACAAATCTCAACAATAAGCAAAGTTTATCGTCACCATGTCTATTTCAGTATGACGCACCATAAAGCACCAAAGTTCCATAACAATCTCCCACCAAAGGAAGTGAGGATGCAAGAAGTTTTCGAGCAAAAAGGATTCCATTTCACCCCAAGCTCGACTGGAATTGACTACAATCACTTATGTTTTCAGTGCATGCAGAATGTTAGAAAACATAGGCTCATAAGCTAATTCCGGGGTTTTATTAGAACCATATAATATAGGAACTCTCATCAATGAACAACCAGTCCAGAATTTGGAACTTGTGTTCCTGTTTCACTTGAGCTGAATTTAATAAAGAATTCAGTAAATGTAACGCTGTTGGCTCCAGAAGTTCTCCCAACAATTCACTAGCCGATTTGACTCTGAAAGTTGAGATCATCAGGACACTGTTCTTTTTGGTTTTTTAAATTTTATGTTGTTCTTCTAATTAACACAATATATTTTAGATTGTATTAAATTTCATTTTTTTATTTATAAATAATTACAAAATCAACCCATCGTATCCTGGAAGTGTCCAAAACGTATCATTGCCATATCCTTGTCGTGTCTCAACCGTTTCTGACCAGAAAATAAAATATTTACTATTCAGAATACTTCTAGCCGTATCCAACACGTGTCCGAGCCATATCCGCATATTATAAAAGTGTCCATGTATCCGATACCGCCACGGCACTCTAACAGAAGTATCCGGGCTTCCTAGACTGCATCTACATATCTTTTATAAAGAAGCAGAGACCTAAGGCAGCTTTCTGACACACTCAAAAACATGTGAATGCACTCAATTATTGAAGTTTCACTATTAATTGTGAAGTCATCAGCAAATGCATTGTTCTTATTAATTGTTTCAATCTCTGGTTTAGTAAAGGCCTTCTTTAACCTTTATATTTGTTTTTAATTATTCTTTCGACCTTATCATACAAGGAACATCTCCAACACCGAAAGCAGGAAAATTATAATACAATGAACATCTCTGACACCGAAAAGGAGGAAATGAATACTTATTCTCAAGACAAACAACAATAACTGGAGGATAAATCATTCAAACGCTTAATAATTTAGGCTTTCGCTCTGCCTTTAATTACACATACCGCAAGCTGATTGTTCATTGTTGTAATTTGCTGCTACATGGTACCTCAATGAATCTCTCTCCATGACAAGTCTTTACACCCTAGGAACACACAAAATGACCAAGAAGAAAAGAAACACTTCCAATAAGAAACCCACACAGTTGTACTTATTGCGAGCAGGACTTTAAAGCACGGGATCATTGGAAAAAGGAGTACCAGAATGTAAAACACTATAGCATGATCCATCAATGGTGCCATAACTCCTTGTTGCAGCTTCCCGGGCTATAGTGGGTATCACAGTGCCAGCAGAATCACTATAAAGTATAAACAAACTAATTGTATCTTTCATGTTTAGCATACCAGTCTAAGCTTTCAGCTACTTTCATCCTTTGGATTTTGACCTAGCGTATCCCAGATTGATTAGTTTTTCCACCAGCTTTTTCTCGGCATCTGCCTGAAAACCACCATAAGGAAAAAAGAGGCCAGACAAGGTATTACAGCCAGGAACAAGAACATCCAACACGCTAAATTACGCATGCACCCAAACAAGGCTGATTGATGAAATCCACAATATCAAAATATGTGAATGTATTTTGATATGGAATATTGTTCAAAACAGTGAGGACAGTTGCATGTCAGCCCATGAACCCAAATAAAATATTGTGATAGTAATTAATGCGTATCACAATTTACCTAATCGACGAGCAATGCCAGATCCTGTATTATCAGAAGCTCCCCCAATTATGGAAGTAACACTAACTGTGGTTTTCTGCACATAACCATTAAACTATAAGATGATGATGACTAATAAAATAACAATGACAGATAATTTGAATATTTGTAAGCAAGTATGGCAAGACTATCAACACATGGAGTTATTTATAATTCCCTCTCTAAATTATCAAAATTGAACTTTAGATATTGAATCTATCGCTGAAATAATAGAAAATCTTATCCCAAAGAATCAACAATGAATGGCAGAAAAAATAGGAAGACCGGCATGATGTAGAAATTGTCAACTTACAGGTCTTGACGGCAGAGCTGCATATAAATTTCCAAATTTGGCTGAGTTGCAACCGATCCATGCATATATCTACAAAAACAGCATAGTAAATAGAATCACCAGAGAGAAGAAAGCTAAAGAACGGATTAGAAAGTCTTTTTTTTAATCTGTGTTCAGAAGCATTGAGTAGTTTCCCATTTTCCATTTTACGACTGAGTAATACTTTGTATCAGTTATGATATCATAGCAAGTAAAAAACAAAATGGTAAATAAATACAGTAAAAAAAAATAAAATTATATATTAGAAATTGTGAGTTCTAATGTGCATCATGCTGATTTCTTTTGTTTGCACAAGTTAGTTGCATTTAAAACAAATGCCTAATGTTCAGGGTGCCACGAGCATTCTGAAAGTGACTTTTGACACACACACACACAAAAAAAAAATTGACAAGTTAAAGTGAATTTTGACATGGTATCCTCAGAATAAGTGATTTTTCATATAGTGTCAACAGAATCATCTCCCACAGTCCAGAACACAGTTCCTGCCAGCATCAAGCAATATCTAGACACTTCGAATTTTAATAATCTCTCGGAAAAATGTAGTCAATTCAATTTGGCAACATTAACATAAAATCAAAAGCAAAAATCTAGAGCTTGAGAATCAATTTCACTTGATTCTTTATCTACTGTAAGCACATTGACAGTCCAAATCTAAAAAGATTGGTTAAAGTATATAATAATCCAGTGACAAAGTATGATAAATGCAAATTCACATAGGAAATAAAAGCTGCATATCATCTACATAATCACATAATCTCTAGTGGCTGACACAAAAACAGAAACACAAATTTGAACCTCAAATGATGACTACTTATATTGGGTAATTTTACTGCATCTGAACAATGCTTCGCATACACCACATCAATAATCTGTGTTTATCTGAAAGTAATTTACAACAACCCTCAGCAATTAAAATCAAGTAACAATAAGAGTGTTCCAACAATTGTGAAATGGGGTATCAAGTAAATTGCTTGAATCCGAATATAAAGCAGAAAAAATCATTGAATAATCAAATTAATGGTTGTATAAGTGATGACACTGCAAACAAGTCATGAAAGGAAGGTTCGATGACGAAAACCAACCTGTTTTTGAAGACGTATGATCTGAAAGTAGAGAGTAACATTATCCGACTCTTCGGAAAAGCAGTTGATTTGCACACCACCTTCGTCATCTTCCTTGTTACCCTGGGAGCTTCCATTTGAAGATATTCCTCCATCGATTCCCAAACGGTCCATGCCGACAACAACATTAGCCGGCAATTCTTCGTCCTTTGAGGCAGAGCAGCTTGCATCTAACCCTCCCGGTGCCATTTCACGCAACACACACTATATGAGCTTGGAGCTCAACTGGAATGACTATTTAGAGAATTTAGATAATCATATTAGTTATATTAGTTAGATTTTTCATAAGCTAAAACTAAGGACTTACAAGTTTAGGGTTAAAATTAAGGCTTACATAAATTATATGTATATATAATTTATTTATTTTTTTACGCAGAGAGTGGATTGCAGAACAATCTTACCTATTGAGAGTGATTGATTAAACTGGGAGATTGAATATGGTGGGTTTGCTACAGGGGCGAATGATTTTAGAAAGCTGAGTAAATCGAATTCTTTCCCTGAGAACTTCAAAATGAAAAGTGTAAGATTCAGAAGCTTAATCTCTTCATTTTTCGTACGGTTTTCTCACTAACCAAACAAAACGTATTGAAGAAGCACGCAAAACAGGAATAAAGAAAGAAAAAGAAGAAGAAGAACATACCGATATATGTCTCTCTATCAATCGCTTCACGAACAGAAACCTAGACTTCCTCAAAACCACCGGCTTTCCGGCACCTAGCCGGAGACTGTAAGAACAGAGTGAAATAAGAGAATCAGAGATCAAAGTGAAGATAAAATTGTGTGTGTATTAAATATGTATATGAAAGGTGAGAGTTACTTAACAGTTCATTCTGCTGAGAGCTAGGGTTTCGAATGTCTGTGTGCAGATCGTGAGAGAGATTAGCGAGACTTTGGTAAAGTGGGTCGTCAAAGGGTAATTTGGTCATCTCGAAAAAATTCATTACTTTGTAATAACCTTTTTAAGAGATTCCATTTCTCTGAAAAAATGGAACTTAGACTCCACTGGTTTGTAAGTTGACCACCAAAAGTCCTCTTTTTTTTTTTATTTTTTTTTTTTATTTTTTTTTTTGAAATAATTTTCCCTTGATATCACCCAAGCATCTTTCGAGTTTAAATACTGATATTACAATCTCGATTTAATCTACTTACACATTTATACAACGTGTAACTAGTTATATGTTTAATATGTATATATAAATTTGCCAGATTCTCGTATTGGTGGGTGTGTGGGTGATGGTGATAGGTGGGTTTAATAATGAGAGTATAATGGTCATTTAATTAACTTGATATTTAAGAATAAATGAGATTAAAAAATTAGGGACAAAGTTGCTTTTATTATTATTATTATTATTTTAATTAATGAAGATTGTGATGGAAAAGTAAAAATGGACCTAAGTGATAATTATTTTCGAAAGATATTTGAGAGTGATATTTGATCAAACTTGAGGGGGTGCCAATAAAATTAATCCAAATATATATTTAATATTGTTAGGAGCTTGTTTTCTTGTTGTAAGTGTCCGTTAATATATTAATATTTAATACTTTAGTAATTTAAAGTTGGGCCAACTTTTTTATTAGCCTAATTTGACAACATTGAGCTAGTTTGTTTTTATTTTTTATTTTTAACTTTACATAATAATAAAAGTGGCATAAACAGCTCCACCTATCAATTAGACGAAGTACATGGGAGCGGAGTTAGTATTTTATCTACTGGAGTATGGATGGGGATGATATACTAATTAGAAATCTGTTCCGAAGTAGGAGCGGAGTTGGTAAGATTAAAATTCTAACGGGGCGGAGTAGGGTTAAGCCAAACCTGCCCCAACTCCGCCTCGTTGTCATCCCTACTTCCATCAAATATAGCTAAGCGAAATCTAGGGTGAGGTTGGAGTGAAGTCCGGTCTGTCTTGAGTAGCAAATTAATATTTTTTTAAATCTGTAAGTACATTATTTCTTTATATATTCCCATTGCTTAATTAGTTGTTGACAGTTTGTACTTCCTCTATTCCAAAATTCTTGACCTATTTGGGGATCCAACTTTCTATGAATAATAAAATAAAATAAAATTTATAGCCAATTTTAGCCCAGCCAAAAAAAAAAAGTATTTGGCACAATTTTTTTTTTTATTAATTATAGGCAATTTTATTTGGCCACCTCTATTGATAATTCCTAAATTCGCCCTTAACAATACTCTATAAATAGTGCACTTATTTAGTCAAAAAGATAATTTGATAATGTTATAAAAAATAGTACATTCATTTTTTTTAATGTAACATGTATTTTGGGCCATTTCAAAATAGACTAATGGACAAGTATTTTGAAATGGAAGGAGTGTTTTATTTGCCTTTCCATTTTCTACAATTTTTATATATATATATATATATATATATATATATATATATATATATCTATATTGCACTACAATTTATATCAAAGAGTACTAAAACTGCTCTTAAGGATATTAATTTTCATCAATGAATTTTTACTTTCTTACATTTTCTAATGTTAATGTTTTGCTCCTTTTTTCAATAATCAATCTACATATCCTTGGGACTATGAGTATCTTATTTGTTCATTTATTTTTGCAGCTGAATTTAGTTTTCATTTGTGTTACCATTTTTCATTACAACAAATTCAGATTCAAACGGCCTATCTTCCAACGTCAACTCAACGGCAGTGAAGCATGATATGATGTTGTTTTTCAAGAAGAGAGTGCGGATAATCTTACTAACAGTGCGAGACCCGTTGGACGATTTTCACTCTCTCTAGTGTACCGAGTCACTAACTCTATAAAATAATTTAATGAAAGACGTGAATTCGATGCAAGAAAATAAGAAAATTTAGTCCCCATACCTCAGGAAAATGAATTGAATAATAGGTAATACTTTTTCACATGAATCATGTATTTAATTTCATTTGGGCTTCCAAGTCTTCAACTAAGCTTACGGGTCCAAGTGACTCTCAGTCAACCGTTCGTGTGGCTTTGGTCAAAATAAGGTTTCAAAGACTCCAACTAAACTTGAAGAAAATTTTCATAGTGCGAGGGATAATCCGATTTCAAATAACACGACCTGAGTTATGTATATTATGATTAGTTTTATCGATCAATACGCAACGTATTGGCCGGTTTCGTAATATTTTTTAAAGGTGCGATATTATTACACACTCTCATAAATCAGCCGATTAGACTGGTTTATATTTCGTTAGAGTCCGTTACACCTTGACTATTACTATTATCGTAACTAATATTGCGACTACGAACCATGATATATATATATATATATAGGTGATTGGATAAATGGATGGCCTAATATTCTTTAAAATGATTTGGAAATTTTGAAACACATAAATATGTCGAAATAATTAGGGGTCCGAGTCATCCCGTTAACTAGAAAATAAGAAAGTATTTTTTTATAGATGGTTTTAACATATATAACGAAAACTTGTAGATGGGCCAATAAGACCGAAAAGACTAATTTTTATGAAGAGTACCAAGAAATGATGAAGGTGACTAAATAAAAAGAAATAATAGGCGACTTCAAAAATAAAGTTGAACACAATATGTGAAATGAAGTGTTATATAAACAAATGAAAATAGAGCATTCATGCCACTAACCTTATCACATGGAATTGAGGTGGTTGGCGGCGGCGGCGGCGGCTACGATGATGAATATATTGGTAGAAAAGTTCTGAGGTCTTTCTCCTTGTGCTAGCTGCTAGCAGCCGACTGAAGGTTTCATTTTTGCTTATGGTGAACCTTAATTTTCTCCTAATAATTCCAAGTTAAATGTTGTTTTTTTGCTGTTTTGAAGGATGTAAGATCCAAAGCTGGCCCAATATTGTTCCATGTATAATACAAATGATCTTGACAATTCTTATTCTGCTTCCAATACAGATGTCAAAATTCAAAAGAGAATTCAAATAATAGTGGACAGTATTGAAATTGTAGGAATTTGAACCTTTCTTATATACACTAGTAAACCTGTACTGTACCTACCTGAGTAAAATTTAATTTAAAATTAATATTTAACAAAGTAGAAATTAATATCAAAATCAAGACTATTTTTATTACAATTTACTAATATTCTATTTATTTATATATTAGAAAATTAATAATATCAAAATCAAGACTATTTTTTATTAGAATCTACTAATATTCTATTTATTTATATATTAGAAAATTATTTATAAAATTAGAAAAGATGTGGAGACTAAATAAACTAAATTATTTATATTTTTTTATGTACTTATTTTCTTGTCTAATTAGAAAGACTAAATTATTTATTTTCTTTATATATTTCCTTATCTAATTAGATTTCCTTTTATTAAAAAAACTCTTAATAAATAGGTAATTTGAGTTTTATAGAAACTCTCATAAATAGGTAATTTTACTCTTCTAAACACCTTATATTAATTTTAAAATAAAAACTTATAATAAATAGGTAATTAAATAATTATAAATTCTAAAATATGCATTACTATTTTTTTTTTTTTTTCCTTCGTTGGTCATGCCTCGACTGAAACTTGAACCCCTGACCTTCCTTTGAGAAGTAAGGGCCTGATACCGTTAGGTCAAGCCCGTTGGTGCATTAACATAAAATTGACACAAGGTAAAAGAGATAAAACTATAATTTTTAATTGAACTTTACAATATGAATTCAATTATTGATAGGTATATTTTAAAACTCCTAAAACAATATCAAAATCAAGATTATTTTTTATTGCTACAATTTACTAATATTTTATTTATTTATATATTATTTATAAAATTGGAAAAGATATGGAGACTAAATAGACTAAATTATTTATATTTTTTATGTATATTTCCTTGTCTAATTAGAAAAGACTAAATTATTTATTTTCTTTATATATTTCCTTATCTAATTAGATTTCTTTTTATTTAAAAAATTCATAATAAATAAGAAATTTGAGTTTTATAAAAACTCTTCTAAACAGCTTATATTAAATTTAAAATAAAAACGGATAATAAATAGGTAATTTGTGTTATTATAAAAAAAAAAACATACATATTGAATATATAAATTTATTATTAAAAAATAATGTACAGAAACACGTTAATGTAATAAAACTCTTTGTACTTTTAATAATATTATATAGATATAGATTTCCTTATCTAATTAGAAAGTCTAAATTATATATATATATATATTTTCTTATAAAATTAGAATTCACTTTATTAAAAAAAACTCATAATAAATAAGTAATTTGAGTTTTATAGAAACTATTCTAAACATCTTATGTTAATTTTAAAATAAAAATGGAAAATAAATAAGTAATTTGTGTTATTCTAAAAAGAAACATACATACTGAACATATAAATTTATTATTAAAAAATAATATATTGAAACACACTAATGTACTGAAAAATGCATAGATATAGATATAGATATAATAAATATAGTTTTTTTTTTTTTGGCATGCAGCACACGATTCCCCTCTAATTGCAATCCATGTTTATGAAGTTAGAACCAACTTTTTATTGGTTATTTCACATTAAGGCTACATATGTTTTGATGTAAAATATATATATTTTTTCAAGTAAAATATATATATATTTTTTTTGGTGTTTAACAAAGATCTAGATCGAGTTTATCGGGTGAGCGTGTAAAATAAATTGTTAAAAATTAATGGGTAAGTTATTTTTATTAAGTTTTAATATTTTTTTTCTTTGTAAATATTTTACAACTAAATATCGAAAAAGAAAAAAAAAATTCTAACATTTCTTTTACATCCAAACAAACGGATTCTAAATAAAAATTGAAATGTCATTCTTTGTCCAATTTTTATAAGAATGTAATTTTTTTTTTTTTTTTTTTTCAAGAAAATGTGATGCCCGTAGGACTTAGAAGAGTGTGAACAAAAAAAATCGTGAACAATTAGAGGAAAGTAAACAAAACAAATAATATTTACGATTTGTCGTAATCACAATGGCCATCTTAACCACTAATGACCCCTAAAGACAGCATTTGGTACTGATAGGGGAGTAGAACCACTAATTGTCCATTTTTTTTTGGCATCAACAAAGAATTCAATCTTAGTAGACTATGTTTATTTTCCAATTTTCTATAATGTTTGCCAAATCAACCTACCCCAACAAAATACTATGTTCTCAATTCTACCCTCAATTTGGTAGTCTGGTATATGTTACCATCAAAAGTATGTATCCCAAATGACTTACCAACCCTCCCACCAAAACCGAAAAAAAAAAAACATGATCTTTAAGATTTGGGATTCTAACATTAGTCACATCAAATTTGCTCCCTAACCCCAATTGAATCTGCTTGCTTTCAGCTCTCTTGACAAGACTCTACGAATTTGGGACTTGAGAAGGTAATCCCCAAATTATCATATTTTCTAAGAAAAAGAGCAATAAATTCTCTTAAACTATTAACCTATTGCAACAAACCCTTTTGAATTACAAAAAAAATCTCTTTAAACTATAAATTTGTTACAAAAAAATAAAAAAAATAAAGATAAAAAAAAAAATAAAACCCATAAATTATTGATTTGTTACATTCCGGTAACTGATTTGGACGAACATAATAAAAAACTAATTTACCATTGTTTAAAATTACGTAGTTTTGACACTTATACCCTTAACTTGATGATGTGGCAAAAAAAAAAAAAAAAAAAAAAAAAAATAATAATAATAATAATAATGAAGGAGGAGGAGGAGGATTACAAATCCTTTTAAGCCCATTTGCCGTCAAACTTATCCTTTACCGCCATGTTCCACGGCAAAACTCACCAGATTTTCCAAAATCTCTCCAACGTTGACGATCCCACTCAAATAAACTCGACAGATTTATTCTCCATGGGAATTGCAAAACAATTTCTCAAAGTAAGGCCAACCAAATTTCACTCCTAACAACCACTTGGACGCTTGCTTCCGATCACCACCGCGTCGGCAAAACTCAAAAGCTGATTGGCATGTATAAGTCACCAATTTTCAGACTGATTGGTAAAATTCAAGAGGCCCTCTATGTACCACCACGAAGGAGAGATCGACAACAGTGGAAAGTGCAAAGATCTAATAACCATTTCACGAGCTTGGGAAGGTCCGCCGACAAGTTCTCCAAGGCGGTGTGCTCGCTTCCGCTGCTCTCGCACAGCCAAGCACGAACCAATCAATTGCCTTCCCAAGCGCAAATCCTCTTTGCCAGCCGAACAACGACTCTGACTTATCTTCCACAAACCCACTGCCACCACCACACAACCACATCCAAACCAATACAAACTCAAATAATTAAGGGTAAATCATACGCTGTCAAACCCAACTGAACCACAAAACCAACCCCTGCTACCACCATCACCGTTACCTCCCTGACCAACCTTACTAACCATGCAACCACGACCTTCTTTCCATCGATTTGGAAACATTTTAGGCTAAATCATACACAATCAAATCCAATATTTGAACCCCACAAATTCACTGCCACCGCTCTTGTTACCGCTTCTTCCTCTGAGTTTTGGCTTCTCCAGCATGCAATTGTTTTTTCTCCTAAGCTTCCTCTGAAAAATCTTTCATTGATCTGCAATTTACACAAACACAAGAGCTATATAGTTTTATATATACACACACAGAAAGAAGGCGAACACGAATTATTTAATTTTTTTTTAATCATGTGCTTTGTGAAGAAGATAAACAGTAACTATATATATATATATATATAGACAGACGGACATAAAGGTGTGTTTGGGGGTGTTTAAAAGGTGTTTGGGTTTAATAGGAGGATATTAGTGTCTTTTCATGCCCAGGAGGGTAATATAGTCATTAAAATTAAAGTTTCAGACGATACAATCTGCTTCGACACTCCGCAGGGCGCAGCCTCTGCTATCGCCTCAGGTGACAAGGTATGTTCATCCTCTCTCTCTCTTCTCTCTCCTTTTGCATGAATCGATCATTTATATATGTTTGTTTCTTTCGTTCAGATTGTGAAAGTGCTAACTCCACTCCATATTCTTCTTACGCAAGCAAGCCCAGGCTTTGTTTTAATCCCTTCGTTTTTAGGAGTGTAAAGAGAATTAGAATTGGATTAGGAAAGAGTTAGAATTGAACTAAATAAATCCCGAGTAGAATAGGATTATTATTCTAATTGGTAACTTATTTAGTTGACCCTCTTGTTATATATGTATATATAGTCAGAAAGAAGCTGCTACGCCACCAGCAGATTCGGGGTGGTTGTCTTGCTCCCGGCTTCCTCATCAGCGCTCATCAAGCCAACTTTTCCCCTTCCTGCATGAATCCTTCTACCGCTGAGAAAAGCGAAGCCATGATAAAACGAGTGAATCCTTGTGCCGCTGACAAGAGCGAAGCCATGATAAAACGAAGAAGAATGCGAAGAAATTCATATGGTGACACGCCATATGAAATCATACACATTATACTCTTGAGACTACCCGTCAAGTCTGTGTTGCGATTCAGGTGCGTTAGTAAATCATGGCTTGATGTAATTTCCGATCCCCAATTCGCGAGATCACGTCTCAATGAATCAATTAAGTTTGACCGTCAAAGTATCATCCGCTGGGGCTACAACGGACGTAATCACAAAAATTTCGACTCCATAGCCTATGACTGCAGTGATAATTCACAGCAAAAACTATGCTTTCCATTTAAGAAGTATAGGAAAGCTGCTGTATTGAGTTGTTCTTGTAATGGTTTAGTACTGTTGTTTCTGGACGACATATGTGTACTGTGGAATCCATCCACTGGAGCATACAAGTGGTTCTCACGTCCTCCTAAATATCACAATTATCCACCACGTGGATTTTGCTATGATTCTTTCCTGGATGATTACAAGGTGCTGTTTTTCCGTGCAAGAGATTTTGTGGTTTACAGTTTCAGAAGTCAATCCTGGACAGAGGCTAAGCACTTCCCTTATTTAGGTTATCGTAGTGGTTCTGGCGTTATTGTCAATGGAGTTTTACACATGGTTGCTTATAAAGCCTTGATCAATAATAATAATAATAGATAGTCGTCGACCTCTGCTAGAGTTGGACCTCCCTCTCCCGGTAGATTGGGCATGGTTGGAACCTCTGATCCACCAACTTTTATGTTCGGTGATTCCTACAAAGAACATCTCCTCGTTTCTTGCAATGCAAAACCCGTTACAAACCAATCTAAGAAGCAATATGGGAGTGTGATTGTTTACTTTGACATGGTGGATCACAAGTTCAAGGAGATGCCATCACCAAATTGTATAAATGATGGAGATATGTTTGATTTGACGGTTTTGAAGGGATGCCTCAGTTTATATTTTAGTACCAGTGATATGAACTATTTTGAGGCGTGGACTATGGAGCAATATGGTGAGCATCATTCTTGGACCAAGTTAATTGTCATCCCACACTGGATACGTGAGAGACATATAAGTTCTTTGAAGCTATTGTGTGTTACCAAGAAAGGTAAAATTGTGATGATACTTGATGACAAAAAACTATTCATCTATAATCCTAAAAACAACACGTGCACTCGTCTTGGACAAACAGAGGTTGACGCTAGGCTACGGGCAGTTTCTATTGTGGATAGTTTGGTTTTTCCCATTCCAACACCTCAAGGAAAAGGAAAGAGGAAAAAACCTACAATTGTAAGGAAGTCCATCAAATAATTTCTATTTTTCTAGTTTCTAAGTTAATTCATGTCTTTTAATTGTTATGTTTGATATTAGATATTGAAAGAAATATAAATTGTTCCTTTTGTATGGAAAAAAATGGCGTAATTGTTCTGTTTTGTTTTTGTTGTGTTAATTAATTACCATAATTAGAATGTATATTCCCAAACTTCATAATAATCAGCATCAAGGTACATAACAGTAACGCATTAGAGAATCGCACACTCTCAACGAGTAATCATCATTGAAGCTCTCCACGAACTCAAAATATTCCGTTACAATTCTTTGTTCGACATAAGCAAGGCTACAAACATAATTGATGACAACTTGGATCCGCTACTGCCAACAATGAAACTGTAAGCTCCATCTGCCGTAGGTTGTGGACAACATGAAAGAATCATGCAAATTGATCTTGCAATTTTGCATAGAGCACTACCAGGAACAAGAACCGAATTTGAAGACGCCACAAATCTCAACAATAAGCAAAGTTTATCGTCACCATGTCTATTTCAGTATGACGCACCATAAAGCACCAAAGTTCCATAACAATCTCCCAGCAAAGGAAGTGAGGATGCAGGAAGTTTTCGAGCAAAAAGGATTCCATTTCACCCCAAGCTCGACTGGAATTGACCACAATCACTTATGTTTTCAGTGCATGCAGAATGTTAGAAAACATAGGCTCATAAGCTAATTCCGGGGTTTTATTAGAACCATATAATATAGGAACTCGCAAAGCAAGGACGGAAGAATACACCTCCTCGTCGATTAAAACATTAAAAAGCCATCTAAGCTTTCTAGTGATCCCTAGTATTACATCTTCTTCAAGATCAGCAACACTTTTCAGAAAACTAAGAAATAAAGCAACCCGACCAAGCAATAATATTCTTGCTCCATGCATAGCATTACAATTTAAAGAAAGATTGAAGTAGTCCTATAGTTACTATTCTGACCTCCAGGTATAATCATTAAATCACTCTCATCAATGAACAACCAGTCCAGAATTTGGAACTTGTGTTCCTGTTTCACTTGAGTTGAATTTAATAAAGAATTCAGTAAATGTAACGCTGTTGGCTCTAGAAGTTCTCCCAACAATTCACTAGCCGATTTGACTCTCAAAGTTGAGATCATCAGGACACTGTTATTTTTGTTTTCTTAAATTTTATGTTGTTCTTCTAATTAACACTATATATTTTAGATTGTATCAAATTTCATTTTTTTTTTTAAATAATTACAAAATCAACCCATCGTATCCTGTAAGTGTCCAAAACGTATCATTGCCATATCCTTGTCGTGTCTCAACCATGTCTGACCAGAAAATAAAATATTTACTATTCAGAATACTTCTGGCCGTATCCAACACGTGTCCGAGCCATATCCGCATATTATAAAAGTGTCCAAGTATCCGATACCGCCACGGCACTCTAACAGAAGTATCCGGGAGTACTAGACTGCATCTACATATCTTTTATAGAGAAGCAGAGACCTAAGGCAGCTTTCTGACGCACTCAAAAACATGTGAATGCACTCAATTATTGAAGTTTCACTATTAATTATGAAGTCATCAGCAAATGCATTGTTCTTATTAATTGTTTCAATCTCTGGTTTAGTAAAGGCCTTCTTTAACCTTTATATTTGTTTTTAATTATTCTTTCGACCTTATCATACAAGGAACATCTCCAACACCGAAAGCAGGAAAATTATAATACAATGAACATCTCTGACACCGAAAAGGAGGAAATGAATACTTATTCTCAAGACAAACAACGATAACTGGAGGATAAATCATTCAAACGCTTAATAATTTAGGCTTTCGCTCTGCCTTTAATTAAACATACCGCAAGCTGATTGTTCATTGTTGTGATTTGCTGCTACATGGTACCTCAATGAATCTCTTGCCATGACAAGTCTTTACACCCTAGGAACACACAAAATGACCAAGAGGAAAAGAAACACTTCCAATAAGAAACCCACATAGGTGGGACTAACAATGGGTGACGGACCTTTTTCTTTTCAACCCAAAAACATGCACATTTCCAAAAAGCACATCACTACAACTTGAGAAAGACTGCACATAAGCAAACTAACAATTCCAGTTGCACCCTTCAAATATAGAGCAATTATATTGATGACCTGTGTAAGAATGAAGAGAGCTTCAACAGTATCCAACAATGGTTCAGTTATATAGTAGCCAACGTACAGACTAAACTTTGTAAAAGTTTATGTAACAAGACCTTGTTACCAACAGTTGTACTTATCGCGAGCAGGACTTTAAAGCACAGGATCATTGGAAAAAGGAGTACCAGAATGTAAAACACTATAGCATGATTCATCAATGGTGCCATAACTCCTTGTTGCAGCTTCCTGGGCTATAGTGGGTATCACAGTGCCAGCAGAATCACCATAAAGTATAAACAAACTAATTGTACCTTTCATGTTTAGCATACCAGTCTCGGCTTTCGGCTACTAAGGTCATCCTTTGGATTTTGGCCTAGCGTATCCCAGATTGATTAGTTTTTGCACCAGCTTTTTCTCAGCATCTGCCTGAAAAACACCATAAGGAAAAAAGAGGCCAGACAATGTATTACAGCCAGGAACAAGAACATCCAACACGCTAAATTATGCATGCACCCAAACAAGGCTGATTGATGAAATCCACAATATGAAGTCAGTTTGTTAATAGCTAAACATCACAAAATATGGAATAAATAGAACTTAAGAAATAAAATATTTATGCAAATGCATATTGTTCATATACACATTGACAGGGAGAGAGAGATTAAACCTCAAGTATGGGGCTGTTTTTCGGAATGTTGCAAGCCAATATGACATTTAGACCAGTCTTCAAAACTGTGAGGATAGTTGCATGTCAGCCCATGAATCCAAATAAAATATTGTGAGAGTAATTAATGCATATCACAATTCACCTAATCGACGAGCAATGCTAGATCCTGTATTATCAGAAGCTCCCCCAATTATGGAAGTAACACTAACTGTGTTTTTCTGCGCATAACCATTAAACTATAAGATGATGATGACTAATAAAATAATAATGACAGATGATTTGAACATTTCTAAGCAAGTATGGTAAGATTATCAACACATGGTTATTTATAATTCCCTCTCTAAATTATCAAAATTGAACTTCAGATATTGAATCTTTTGCTGAAACAATAGAAAATCTTATCCCAAAGAATCAACAATGAATGGCAGAAAAAATTGGAAGACCGGCATGATGTAGAAATTGTCTAACTTACAGGTCTTGCCGGCAGAGCTGCATATAAATTTCCGAATTTGGCTGAGTTGCAACCGATCCACGCATATATCTACAAAAACAGCATAGTAAATAGAACCACCAGAGAGAAGAAAGCTAAAGAACTGACTAGAAAGTCTTTTTTTTAATCTGTGTTCAGAAGCATTGAGTAGTTTCCCATTTTCCATTTTACAACTGAGTAATACTTTGTATCAGTTATGATATCATGGCAAGTATAAAACAAAATGGTAAATAAATACAGTAAAAAAAATAAAATTATATATTAGAAATTGTGAGTTCTAATGTGCATCATGCTGATTTCTTTTGTTTGCACAAGTTAGTTGCATTTAAAACAAATGACTAATGTTCAGGGTGCCACGAGAATTCTGAAAGTGACTTTTGACACACACACACACAAAAAAAAAATTGACAAGTTAAAGTGACTTTTGACATGGTATCCTCAGAATAAGTGATTTTTCATATATTGCCAACAGAATCACCTCCCACAGTCCAGAACACAGTTCCTGCCAGCATCAAGCAATATCTAGAGACTTCGAATTTTAATAATCTCGTCAATTCAATTTGGCAACATTAACATAAAATCAAAAGCAAAAATCTAGAGCTTGAGAATCAATTTCACTTGATTCTTTATCTACTGTAAGCACATTGACAGTCCAAATCTAAAAAGATTGGTTAAAGTATATAATAATCCAGTGACAAAGTATGATAAATGCAAATTCACATAGGAAATAAAAGCTGCATATCATCTACATAATCAAATAATCTCTAGTGGCTGACACAAAAACAGAAACACAAATTTGAACCTCAAATGATGACTACTTATATTGGGTAATTTTACTGCATCTGAACAATGCTTCGCATACACCACATCAATAATCTGTGTTTATCTGAAAGTAAATTACAACAACCCTCAGCAATTAAAATCAAGTAACAATAAGAGTGTTCCAACAATTGTGAAATGGGGTATCAAGTAAATTGCTTGAATCCGAATATAAACCAGAAAAAATCATTGAATAATCAAATTATTGGTTGTATAAGTGATGACACTGCAAACAAGTCATGAAAGGAAGGTTCGATGACGAAAACCAACCTGTTTTTGAAGACGTATGATCTGAAAGTGGAGAGTAACATTATCCGACTCTTCGGAAAAGCAGTTGATTTGCACACCACCTTCGTCATCTTCCTTGTTACCCTGGGAGCTTCCATTTGAAGATATTCCTCCATGGATTCCCAAACGGTCCACGCCGACAACAACATTAGCCGGCAATTCTTCTTCCTTTGAGGCAGAGCAGCTTGCATCTAACCCTCCCGGTGCCATTTCACGCAACACACACTATATGAGCTTGGAGCTCAACTGGAATGACTATTTAGAGAAATTAGATAATCATATTAGTTATATTAGTTAGATTTTTCATAAGCTCAAACTAAGGACTTACAAATTTAGGGTTAAATTAAGGCTTACATAAATTATATGTATATATAATTTATTTATTTTTTTACGCAGAGAGTGGAGTGCAGAACAATCTTACCTATTGAGAGTGATTGATTAAACTGGGAGATTGAATATGGTGGGTTTGCTACAGGGGCGAATGATTTTAGAAAGCTGAGTAAATCGAATTCTTTCCCTGAGAACTTCAAAATGAAAAGTGTAAGATTCAGAAGCTTAATCTCTTCATTTTTCGTACGGTTTTCTCACTAACCAAACAAAACGTATTGAAGAAGCACG